TGACTTATCTTTATACAGATTCTCGCTTGTTATCTGTGGTATCTAAAGGATCAAATTCCCATAACTGATGCCTTAAATCACAGTTGGGGACCTCAGGCCTTCTTCAGATGGCTGCACTCCCTTTCTCATGATACCATTGTTTGGTGGTTTGTCAGCTTTTTACATTGTTTTCTCTACCCTGTCCCCAATTCTAAAGGGATGGAATACCTCTCCTCAGATTTCATTAATGACAGTTAGAGCTTTGATCTAAAATACACTGGGGTTTTTTAATCCCAAATCTTTTTTGTCTTTGAATTTGAATACTCCTAGAATGGATGAAGGATTCTGGGAGTATGTTTCCAAGTTCTGCTCCCTGAACACTGTCTTCTTAAGTTCCTACTTAGATTAATGTTTAGTAAGAGTGACAAAAATTGTAGTTCGAGAGTATTGTGATGACTAAACAGCATGACTAAACTGCATTACCAAGATTACCAAGCTTAATTGTTGAGAATGCCATATAAGTATTCCTCCCCTGCTTACTATATACATCTTAAATCTAATTTTAGATACACATTAGGAACACTAGCATTTGTATTTAAGTATCCAAGACTGCACTTAACACCAGTAGGGGTGGCTAAAATAAGTTGGTGCCTAGAACTTAAATATATATATTTTTTCAAATCACCACATTTCATCTACCAGAAAGCTTTTTATTTTGTATTTGACAGGCCTGCAAACCATGGCATTAAAGAATGTAATAAATTCATTCTGTATGTTTACGTTCAAAGCACAGTCTAATAAAAAAAGATAATAGCATATTTTGCATGTAAAGAAGCTGTGGGAATGTTTGATCTTTAGAAACACTTCAGAGCTTTCGTTGCTAAAAATCAGAACATTAAAAATGTTATATATGCACAAGGGAAATACATTGGGAAATTATGAAAAGTTTTAACAAAAGTTGATTTACTCAGAAATTTTCTTTATTGGATTTAGTAGCATTTGCTCCCAGGTAATTAATATAGGATACATTTATCCCTCTTTTATCCTTACAACAAACCTGTGAGGTGGGTTAGGAGGGCACAGAGAGTGACTGTCCTATAGTTTTCCACTGTGAGATTCGTGCATGGCAGGGAATTTGAACCTGAGTGTCCCCAGGTCTAATCTATAACACTCTTGCAGTGTTCATAGGTCTCAAACAATGAGGTTTTCTAGTGCTGAACTTGATGCTATTCCCAGTTTAGATCCCTCTGGTTTCTGTGAATATGAGGACATACCGAAATGTGAAATAATGGCTATGCTGTAGTTTTTAGAGGAACTTTCAAAAGCAGTTTGTACAGTTGCACAGAAGCATTGTTCAAAGGAAAAGAGTCAAAAATCAAACTGGAATTGCTGAATTCACTGCTCTCTCCTATTGGAAAAACAAAACAAAACAAAAACAGATTTAAAAAGATTAATTTAAAAGTAGAAAAGTAATATGAGGAGAGTAAAAAAAACACAAGTTTACAATCCTATTCAGACCTATTTATTTACGGTATTTCATTTATTGGAAGATTTCTAAACTGTGGGAGTTGAAGCCCTCAAGCCAATGTACAAGCCATTAATGGAATAATATTTATTTTAAAATATCCATGGACACTTCTAAAATGTATTAACAGTGCTAAGAATGTTTAAGACAGCAAGTAGTAGAATGCAGATTGTAATAAAAATACTTAAAGGTTAATTTAGAAAATAATGATGACTGGACTTGCGTGCATCTTGGTGGGGAGTGAATTTTACGAATGTGGAGCTACCGTGGAGCATGCTGTTACTGTATTTGAAAGTAAATACCATTATTTTCATTGCATCTCAGCAGAGATGTTTATATCTTAGCTGACAGAATTATGACATGGTGGCAGAAAGCAAATATTTAATACCAAGAGTATTCCCCATGTTTTGATTGTAGAAAAGACAAGCAGTACATAGTCTGGATCACTGAAAGAAGAATGGACCTTTCTCTGTTTCTTACCCAGGATGATAGTGATGTGGAATGGAAATTTGCTCGCTCTAAGCTCTGGTTGTCATACTTTGATGATGGAAAGACCCTGCCACCTCCATTCAGTCTTGTACCAAGTCCCAAGTCTTTTATTTATTTCTTCATGAGAATCATTAAATTATTTACGTGCAGGAGGAAAAGGCTTCAAAAAGATATGGAAATGGGAATAGGCAATTCAAAATCCAGGGTAAGTAAAAAAAACAGACTCTATATGTTTCATTTAAGTCTCCCTTTGAATCTAGATAATGATGATTGAAAGTGAATTAATTGTTTGAATTCATAAAATATGTGTTGTTGATCAGGTTGTGTGATAATATAGTGCTGGATTATTAAAATAATCAAAATGTTTATATCTATCAAATTTAATTTAGGTGGGTGAAAAATTTGTAGAAGGTAACTGGTGATAGCTGTGGTATACACTGTTTCATGGAATTACAGTCACCCTCCGTTCTCGCAGACTTGAAGTCTGCGGTTTTGCATATTCACGAAGGGGTGACCTCTGTTTAAATCAATGGGGTGCACCCCTGCCTATGGGGCTTGCATATTTGTGAATTTCCATTTTTGTGGGGTGTGTGTTTGGAACGGATCCCTGCGAAAATGGATGTCCGACTGTATACACAAAATCCTATTTTCCAATAAATGCTAAATTGGAAGAGGGAACTTCCGGCCCATGGATCTAACCCCACTGGAAGAGGGTCAGAATCTGCTTTGCAGAGGTTCCCACATCCCTTCTCAAATGTTTCCTGTAGTCTACAGGAATTGGGGCAAGAGGATCCCCTATTATTCCTTAAACTGCATTCTGCATGTAAAGAGAGTGGGATTTGCATGCCCCCATCCAACCTACTTCCCATCATAACAATCCATGAAATGGAATGTATGCAGCAGAGAACCAGGCTGCTAAATTGCATGGGAAACATACACATGTGGCTTCTTGATTATAGTGGCCACTTTTACAATAATAAAAGCAAGACAATGAAGTACACTGAAGTACACAAACAAGGACAATGATTTGCATCTGTACAGATGCAAAATTTAAAATGTTTTTTTTATAATTTAAATAATAGTCTTTATAATTTAAACAAGATGATAATGCATCTCATCCAAATGAGAAGTACTGTTGACCAGGTGAACTCTGTGCCTGATGAATCTACTGTCCAGGTGCTAACTGCTGATGGGAAATTTCAGGGTTTCTGAGCGCTCTCTTATGGTTCCTTTATTTTTAAAGCAGCTTGGACTGGTCAGCCTTTCAAACAGAGGGCACTTTCAATAGAGGACTGTCATATGGCAGCCTTTCAAAGAGAGGTCTGTCCTCTGTAACATAGGACATGTGGTCACTCTCTCCCTGATGTAGGCAGTAGCTCTTTCATTTTTGAGGCACAATCAGGATGATGATGCACTGGGTGAAACTAGCACATTTATTTCTATTCTAATCATGTGAGAGAGATTAATGCATGACCAGGGCTTTTCTCATGCAGTGTTGTGACTTTGTGATATGAAGTAGGCAAGCTGCCATTTGCCAAAGGAAGGCATATGCCTTAGGTGGCAGAGACTAGGGAATAGGGGCAATACCCAGCCATTCCTTCTCTTTTTGGGACAGCTAAGTGTGTCCCTAAATTAATTTTTTATCCTTAATAATGGTGGAGGATATTACTCTACCACTGGTGAGTATGAATCAACTGCCAGTCCTGGAATGAAGGGGAAACTCCCCCCCCCCACTTGTGTCAAGCAGCAAAATGTCTTGAGTTGATCCTGCAAGTAGGTTGGACAGACCTCTCTATTGCTAGTGTACTTCATTGTGAGTGAAGCTACACATAGGCTGCCATAATATTAGGGTAAAGGTATTCCCGGTTGACAAGGTTGTCAAGTCATGTCCGACCGTAGGGGCCAGTGCTCATCTCCATTATTAACCCGGAGAACCAGTGTTGTCAGAGACTTCTCTGTGATCTTGTGGCCAGCATGATTGCACAGAACACTGTTTACCTTCCCACCAAAGTGGTACCTATTTATCTAATTGTATTTGCATGTTTTCAAACTGCTACATTGGCAGAAGCTGGGACTAGTGATGGGAGCTCACCCCATTATGCAGCACTTGGGCCTCGAACTGCAAACCTGACGATCTTGCAATCTACATAGTCAGCGTCTTAACTACGTGAGCCACTGCATCCCATATTACTTCAGCCAAATATTTTTGGAAAAAGGACATATGAGAGGGTATCGTAAAGTTTTAATTATCACCTTTAAAATTTTTTGACAG